TTATAAATTATATATTTTCTGGTATAAATCTGCTGTTTTACATGATTGTTGAATGAAATAACATAATTATTAATTTATTGTAAAAACATGACAGATAATTTGTGAAACAGATCCGGTTCAACTTGCTGTTTATCAGTTTCTATGGAGGCTGTGAGCTGTTGTCCTTTTAGACGCCATTTTTGCTCCTCCATGCTGTCACAGACGCTACCAGTGGACGGTATGGGGCGGGGCTCAGTCTAGTGGTCTATATTCAAGTCTATGGTTTACTCCCACCTTATGGATGTAAAAGTCTGAGAAATGCAGGTTTGCTTTGACAAACATAATGTACGTATCTGATTTAGCACCAGGTTCTAATAAAAACAGTGTTTTATAGTTGTAACTCATTAAGTACTCAGTAATGGTAGTCAGTATCAGTGAGYACACAAACTAAAGTACTTGTACTCGGTTTGAGTAAAACTGGTATCAGTGCATCCCTATGCAGAACCACAAATCTAACATAAGAGGAGTCCGTCTTTTCTTAAAAAATATTTTATTTAAAGCTTACCGGACAGTCGATTGGTACACAAGATCCTCACGTCTGCGGTAGTCCTCCATGTGAGAATAATTTGTATTAAACATTGCATCATAGGTGAAGATTTTCTGCTTGATGGTACCTCCATCTGTGACCTGTGAAGCAAAGAGAGACTATTATTAGGTAAAATCSTGCACTGATGGATGTTACGAGACCTATATTTCTGCAAGTGACGCATTATCAAATCATAGACTGTTATTTGAAAGCCTGGGGTGTAACGTGCACTCCTGCCTGCAGTCGTCTTAATGACTCATTGATAAATGTWTTCCTAATAATGAGTATAGGGAAAGATTGAAAACCTGCTGACATGGTAACATCCCTGAGATGGTCTTATAGTTGCCCTCGGGTCTGTTTTTATGTGTTTGGCTAAAACTTAACGAGGACTGACACAGTGCAGTGTTCTGTATGAAACAGTCTGCTTTTTGCAGATGTAACGGCATGAGAAGGAATACTACAGAGGGATAGGCTATTCAAAACACCCGTTTCTTTTTTTATTTTCTAGGCATGGCACAGTTTTTTTCATTTTCTAATATTCAAAGGAGTGTTAAAGTCACTTAGCATTTGAATGACTGTGATTTCTCCTCTCTTCCAGAAGCTACAGACGGTCGTAAAAAAAAGGGTGACTGGGTTTTAATGGAGCCACTAATACTGCTTTGAAGAGGAAAATTGTTGGTGGGCCAGGAATCCCTCGTGTGATGCTGTCATTCCAATTCAATCAAATCCCTCCAGCACATAAACAATGTCAAGGCTTTTCAAGATTAGTTCAAATACTTGAAGGCATCGCCTCATGAAGAGAGAGAGAGAAAATATGCATTTAAATAAGCAAGTGAGATTTAAATAAATAAATAATTTCAGATCTGCAGGAATCATTTATAAGAAGTCAATTATATGTCACACTTGTTCACATTTAGATGAGTGAAGACATTTTAAGATTGCTTTTAATGGTCCTTTTCAATGTGTTTATTTAATTATTTTTAGCTTTTTCTGGCGTTATTTGTTAGAAGGAATAATCTGATTGTCAAATTGAGAATATTTTTCCCAGCTGCTGCCGTGCTCTCAGTTTTGATAYGAGATCACAGGTGTAAAGTCTGAGCGATGATGCACTGTTATTTGGAGAGGCAGAACAGGGAGTAGGTACAGGTAAAGGTCAGCTTCTAAAAGCAAAGCTGTGTTTGAAAATTGTTTTTTTCGAGCCMCCCAAAACTTCTGCCACTGCTGCAGTTATAGTATTTTATTTTACCTGAAGCCTCCATAGAGATCAGCGTTTACACACAATACTTGTGTTCGAAACCAAAACAGAATTTTTCACCAATTATATACAAATTATTACTTGATTACTTTTTAATGGTTTATTATTGATACAGTATTCCTTTCACAAGATAAGCATTTTATATGGAAGCAAGTTTTCAAAAACTTAATTTTTTATGTAATCATACAGTATATTTGCTATTGTCATGTTGTGCATGTTGATAATTAGACCTCTGAGATTATAATAACTGCTTTATTTACACRACAAATTTTCCCTAATATATTTGGTAAAACTGTTTCTTTTTTAGAAATATCTGTTGCTTATCTGTTTATAAAAGTCTGTTTTTWAAATTTCATTATTATTAAAATTTCACTTTTGTGAGCAATTCAATTTTYAATGATTTAAATTTTACAAACAAAAAGCAAGTCTTTTTATGTATTTTTAAGGACAGACAAGATGAAATGTTTCTCATCTTTTGCCCTGCGAAGACTGAGTAAATCAAATGTAGCTCAGTAGGGAACCCAAAGGACCAGCTGAAGTGTTTATCACATAAGTAATATTCTGGGTTGCCAACATTTAAGCACATTTAAAGCCCACAGTAGTTATTTAATCTGCTCACTTTGTTTTTGACCCTTATGTATGATAATTGTTTTAGGAACWGACACTTTTATTCATAAGCCTTTAGCGATAAAATAAACTAAGTTGGTGATGTATATCAGCTCTATGTGGGCTGTAACACCTTTAGATAAAGAAAAAAAAACACATTATCAGATGAACCTTTCTAAAWGCTGAATCCTCTGAGAAATGCACTTCAAACGCATCATTTCTGTTGAGCTAAGTTTGCACTGTTCCAGTGGCCTTACGGTAGTTCATTGTGGAAATGTGGGTGTTGGGTGGGTAGCAGGTGATGCTGTCATTTTGCTCGACTAAATCAAAACGTGTTTGTGAGGAGGTTTTAAAGCTTCTCTAAGTCCATCTTTAGTTGCAAAAATGGAATGAAGATAATGCGTTATGTGTGTGTTTCACATTTTTCATGGTAAAAACCGGGCTCTAGGTACAACAGAAGGGAATTAAGTAATGTCTTTAGTAAACAGAATAAAAAATATGAACATCTACAAACTACAATGAAAAAAAGGGATTTTTGGGTGTAGCAACATTTATTTAATTGTTCTTTTAAATTTTACAAAACAATATCAAAATCTCTAAACTACTAGAGTTAGTCTAAATAAACAATACACATTATATTATATATCAATATTACTGTACAAAAAAAGTAAATGCTATATTATTTTACCAGTAATATTTAAGTGCTTTTTCTGGACAGCACATAAACATGAATATATTAAGTAACTTCTACTCTTCTGGGCTAAAACTGAGGGTGCATGCACACACAAAGTGTCCTCATTCCCTTGCTTCACTTTTCAAGGAGAGGACAAGACATGGTCGAAATAAAACATAGGTTATCTGGTTTCTTTTGCTTGAATACATTTGTTGGTGTGCAATAGTTTGATGGCATAATGTAGGTGATATTTAGTTGTCAGGGAACAGGGAATGCAGATTGTAGCATTCTGCTGTGTTTGGCTGTTTGTCATGTGGAGGATTGTGGGTAGGATTCATGTTTGTTGTTGTTAAATCATTTTAGGGAATTGGTTAACATTGTTCTTTTAGCAGTTACTCTGTTGTGTTACTCTAATTTGTGTGTTCATTATTTGTTAACTTGTGTTAAACCGTTCAGCAGAAGTAACCATAAGTGAGAGTGGTAGGCCTAGTCATTAATAAGACCTGTGAGTTTCACTTTGTCTGTGTTGTTCATGAAGAAGAATCCAATAAAGGTTCTTCAAAACTGCCACCTGGTGGTGAAGTATTAAACTACAACAAGAGCTACACCTCTCTCTGTAGCTATGAGGTGTCATGCTACAATATTGTGCTTGACGCATGTGCACTGTTATAAAGAACTTGTAAGATTTACTTGAAAAAGTCCTTGAAAAAAATTGTTAGAGGATATATTTCAAGTACATCTTACAAGTTATTTTTATTCAGTGTAGTTGATTATGTTTTCAAATCCATTGCATCGTTTTGATGCAATTTTGGTTTTGACATTTAGGTAAGCCATTCAAACATTCAAACAAATACATGAGGAGATTATAAAGATGACTGTGCAGAACAAAAAAATCAAAAAACAAAATCCCATAAACAATAAAGCTCATTCTACTTTTGATTAARAAACATGACTTAAACCAACTGATGTAAATTTGATCTGTTCATCAGCCCTCAAGAGGCATAAATGAGCACAATSATCTAATTAAACATGCATTGTAATTGCTCCTGACATTAAAAAAAAAAAAAACGATGATGGTAACATATTTTGTTTTCACAACTCCAAGGACTAGAAGGGATATTTTGGCCTAAAACAGACATTCTTCATATTAACCTCTCTGTATCTATTCCTATTTAATGATTTCCACTCTTAATACACTGACCTGTGTGTCTATGTGTAATAAATCTGAAAGAATCTGCATGAGTGGATGTCTCCTAAACTAGACCTGTTTGTGAWATAAAAGGCTGAGCGAGAAAAATAGAACAGAGGAAAGGAGAAAGCGTGGGAGGGAAAGAGGAGACCCAAACTGTGCCAAAATGGTTGTACAAGAGGGAGATGAATGCTCTTTGATTGCAGAAAAGAACTGTTAGGGAAGCAAAGCTTTGCTACAACTGCTTTGTTGAATTCAGGCCATGTGATGCATATGAGGCACAGAGGCACCAAACCTCCCCAACATTTGGCCATCTGGAGGTATGAAAAGGCAGGCAGAAATGGAAAGAATTAGCTACCCCTTCCTTGTCAGCATTGAGGCAGATCGTGGATGTTGGCAGAGGGAGTAAAGAAGAGACTATGACAGGTAGCTGACAATGGGGTGAGTTAAAACGTGCTTAAAACTAAATTCCAGGCTTCTCTTGAGATCCATTGAGGCCAAATTCTCTCAGAGGGTGACCTGCATCCTTCCTGGCCAAACAGCTGGACTGCCCYTCTAATGATGCCTCCTATCATTAGGGTCAGATTCAAAGTGGATCTCAGGGGTTAAGCAAAGCCCTCTCGCTCTGCTTGCCTGGACCAGGACTATTTATAGGCTGCAGCTGCATCAGCAGCTACTGGAGGAAATTCAGCTAACATGTGCATGCATGGTAGGAGAGATTAAACCTGAATGCCGCTTCATAATTCCAGGCAAAAGCCRGAGCTGCACTAAAAACAGCATCACACAATAAACAAACAAAAAAAATCTTATTAGCTAAATAGAGGGCGACTAAATGCTGTCTGTGTATAATTTCTGACAAAACTATTGTATGTGCAAAAAGAAAGTGTTTATTCAATTTGTTAATCTATAAAATTAAAATCGGTGATGGTAAGTCATTTTTTCTGTTTCATAAATAGATAACGATTGTGTCTTTCTGATTTACTTGCATGTCTTTGTAATCACAATCTTACACTTTCATTGAATGGCAGCATGACTACTAAATAATGTCTTAATAAGATTTATACCATTTTAGTTCCTCATTTAAAGACTTAATCAAGCAACAAAAGACATGTTCTGAGCATTGTCAAAAAAGAAAAAAAGGACTAAGCACGTTTCTTCATATCCATGCTAATTTGCCTAATATTACTATCTCTGAAAGTGTCTTTTTGAAACATGGACCTAAGCATAGCGGGATATTTTATTATATTTAAAATTGCTATAATTGTTGTTTGCAAGAGAAGGATTAATGCAAATTTAGACCTCTCACCCTGGACCAGGTCACAGAGTTTTATCTTTTCAGACATCAAATTACTTTTTCATATATTATGTGTTTTGTACT